ATTGGGGAATTGGAGGAGGGTATCCGCCCACTAAGGATCAAATGCAGTAGTTCAGAAGTTATAATGCCAGGGCTGGGAGCCAGTAAGATACACCTGAAAGGAAGGGCGTGTGGGAATTGGATATTGGGGAAGAGAAGCATCCCAACCAGGAGCACTTGTGTGAAAACAATATCACGGGAGAGAGAAGTGAGGTGAGCGCCGAGACAGGAACAGGCTGGCTGCCCGGAGCAGCTGTTCTGAATTGCGAGGTGGGTGGGATTGGAGCCTGGGGGTCTTTAAAGGCAAGAGAAAAAACGTTCGTGCGATATGGTGGGCAACAGGCGTCATCATGGTTGGTTCTACTTTAGAGGGAGACGTGTGCATGAGAGTGACATGTGGGAAGATTAATCAGGCCAGAACGGGTAAGAGAGCTAGAAGGCTGTGTAGCCTGGGAGACCTTTGCAAAATATATGTAAAAAAGGAAAGCAGTTTCCATTTTCCAAGGGTCTTAAACGCATATCATCTTTCCCTCATATCGCTGTTTACTGCAGTAAACTTCCAAAATAATTACTGTAGTAAGTAAACACATTTAAAGAGATTTTGTTGAATAATGCCACAAAATAAGATGATATATTGGGTAAGCACAGGATTGAAATATTTTTTTCTAGGCTGCAATTACTGTCTTTTATCAATATTGGTTTATTTTTAATGCAGTTTGACAATACAACAAGATTATTTGAGGTGGATCTGAAATTTAGAACTCAAACATTTGTTTTGTCACCTAGGATTCTCCTCTTACCTCTGTTAGAACACCTTTGTACCATAAACCTGCTTGACGTCTGTTTATCTCTGTGGACTATGAACTCTTTCAAGGCTGTGATGGTGTCTTACTCATCGTGTATCCTTAGCCTTTGGCTCACTGCATTTTAAGTAGCAATTGTTGAATGGGTAGGTGGAGAATGATTATAAGAGGTATTTTTCCTCTATTTTGTTACTCTGATTTATGCCTTAATTCAAGTTTAGAAATGACTAATAATACTCTGATGTTAAGAGACTTTCATGGGTCATTTGGAAGGGAAAGTATTGTTATAGCTGCCACTCAGCCTGATTTACAGCACTAATTCTAATAGAGATTTTTTTGTACGTATGAGTACTGATAGTTGTGTTTTAAAATTGGCTACTTCTTGATTTTAACAGGACCGGCTAAGTGGTAGGTCCTGCAGCACAGCCACTGGTGTAGAAATCAGGCAGCCTAGGTCTCAGCCTCAGCACACACAGCTGAGAGTCCTCCCTGACGGTTTGCCTGGATGATGCTCATTCGCCAATTAACTTCACTTCCTCAGCATCACCTGTCCTGACTGTCTCCTGAGCTAACTCTGGTTGCCTAGTCTATGTTATTGTGGAACCATTTATAGCGTTTATCACAGTAATCATAGAAATGATTATTCTTTTTTTTTTTTTTTTAAGATTTTATTGGGGAATTAGGGGAGGGGAACAGCACTGGGAAATTGGGGGAAGGGGAACAGACAAGTTGCTGTTGTTTGTTCTTCAGTCTAGTTGTGGAGGATGTTGCTTCACTGGCCCAAGCTGGCACCATCATTGCACTCTTCCTGGGCGAGGCAGATCAGTCACTGGCCTCTGGACGGCCACTCATTGCGGCTGCCAGCCACACACGGTAGCTTATGGCAGCCCACTGCAGCAGGGGCTGCAGCCTATGCTGTCACCGGCGACCCATGGCAGCCCAGCTCCAGGTTGAGCTGTTGTTCAGCATCTTAGCTGTAGAGGGCATTGTTACTGGCCCTCATATGTGGGATCCGAACCGGGCCCTCTGGCATCCCAAGCCAGTTCCTAACCAATGCACCGCTCGGCCGGCCCGAAATGATTATTCTATTCATGTTATCTCCAATGAAGCTATAACTTTCACACACATAGGGAACTGTCTGTTGGTTTCACTGGTGTTCCCATTGGAACCTGAGGACACCTGAGTCTCAGGCCCATCCTGCCTGCACCACTCGGCCAATAGGCTGACACAGGAGTTGGGCTATAGCATAAGATTTATTGCCAGAGCACTGAGAAGGCAGCAGGTTAACACCTCCAAAAACTGCCTAACATTCTCAGACTGCCATTAGGATATTTAAGGGGAAAACTGGGTGCTCCTCCAGAGGCTATGTGAGGGTTCCGGGGGCGTGCATGGAGCCTGCCCTCTGGCACTTGGGTTCTCTGGTGGAGTCAGCAACCCAGGAACAATGATGGGAGTAGCCTGGTAGACCATTGAGATTGTGATCAATATGACTAGGGGTGTTAATCATAATTTTCAGGGTAATTTTCTAAAACAGGGAACTGGGAAGGATGGGACATTCCAAGCTCCAGCCCCAGGGGAATGATCTATTGTTAAGCTATAGGTAGGTCAAGGAAAGGTAGGGCCGAGATGTTGCAACTGGCCCTGCTTCACCATCACCTGACTTAGTCTCTGGCACAAACTACCGTATTTCCCCATGTATAAGACGCACCTTAATTTTGGGGCCCGAAATTTGAAAAAAAAAATGTATTACATAAAGTTATTGAACTCAAGTTTTATCCATCATAAAATTCATACAACTCCTCATCACTTGTGGGAAATACAAGTAAAAAGTCTACAACCACTGTATAAAATGCACCCAGTTTTTAGACCCTAAATTTTTCTGATACATGGGGAAATACAGTAAATTTGAATTAACTCTTCAAAAATTTGTAATTATGTTATTTATATCCATAATTAGAAATTCAAAAATACAAAAGATTTAAAATGAAAGTATATTCAGTCCCTCACTAGAGAGAACAAATATTAAAAGTTCCTTGTCTTTACAAATAGAAAAATTGAACGAACTATGATTGGCTGGAGTTGAATGGGTTCACAGTGGGGTGGGATTGCTTCCCTGATTTCCAGACCCCATGAATAGCTTTCCTATTTCAGTTTCAAAATGTTAGTACCTTAGTGATGGTGGAATCTGGACTGAGGTGAAACAGTTCTGTCTTCCATGGAGGAATCTATGCTGAGAGCAGATAGGGCCAAGGCCTTCAGCTAAATTCCCATGATGACCTGCTCCATGCTTATTAATAGCTATTCCATGTAGATTTTACTGTTCTCGGGGGGCCTTTGAACAGAGGATCATATCCAGCTATTGCTTAATGAAATAGTAAGGCAGGTTGGAAACCCCAAGGCTATGGGATTCGGGGAATGTTTTAGTAAATTTGGATGTTTAGAAAATAAATTAATGTTCATTTGAAGATTTGCAGCTTAAAAAGCACTTTCATGTGAGTTGTTTGGTCTTTGGTGGTTTTATATGGTTGAGCGAAACCATTGAAGGAGTGGGATCTAGCAAACCGGAACTTCTTGAGTTTGAATGGAAATTTGTACAATCAATTCTAATTGTGAATTATATGCATATGAGTACATTAACCCCCACAAATTAAAAAAAATTCTCCAGAAAAAAAATGTACATTTATATTTGTCCATGGATTTGATGGGGTGGAGGAGGGGGAACCTACCTTGGTACATCTTCCAGTTCTTTATCCCAAAGAGAATGTGAGAGAGATAGACCACTTCATGCCCTGCTACAGGACCAGGGGTGTGTGTGTGTGTGTGTGTGTGTGTGTGTGTGTGTGTGTGTGTGTGTGTGTTGGAGTGGGGGCATGCTCAGTTGGTGCCTAGGGGTGCTCAGGAATTGTTAAGTTCATATGATTATGTTGAAAAACCAGTCTACTAAAGCTTTGGGCTTTTATCTATAAATTGTGGTCATTTAACTATAAGCACTACCATGCTCTCCATTACGTGAGGTCTGTGGGGAAGGCAATTTTGTTCACAGGCCATGAAGTATAGTGGGTTCATACAATCACCTGGAGTGGTAGTATGTGTGGCTCTGGGAAGCAGGGTCCAGCGGGAATGGATGGGCTCATCCTGCCCTGCCTCTGACACGGCTCCGGGCCGGGCATCAGAGACTGGATTCTGGGTATTGTTGGCAGGACAGCAGCTGTTTCCTGACAGCCGGATACTTAAGAAGGCAGCTTGTGCCAGATGGAATCCCCGGGCTCTAAAACCTAAGGGACTCAAATGTTAAGGAGGTTTAATGAGCCTGGCTTGGAATTCACAAAGATAGTAATTGTCTGTTTAATATTAACCAGTGTAATAGAAGTTAAGTGCTAGAGCAGTACTCAGTCCCTGCAAGTATCACATGCACATCCCACTGCTTGGGTGATAAGATTTCAGGGACGGGTTCCACGACCCTCTTGTATCCCTGGGAAAGGTGTTTCTTGAACACTTCAGTTACCATTCATCCCCCTTGCCCTCCAGGGAGGAGCCTAGATGAGACAGGTATGCAACCCATCTCCCATGCCTCTTTTCCTTACATGACACTGAATGGACAATTCTAATCGACCACAGACTATTTCCGAGAGCTATGTCCCATTCCTTCTAAAAACATCATAGGGATGAGGCACTGTAATTTAATGAGCATCTACACTGTTCCAGACATTCTACACACTTTATTTTAAATATAACCCCACAAAATAGATGTTATAGGCCCCATTTTATGTTCTTGAGAAACTGAGACTCAAAGTCACAGAGCTAGTAATTGGCGGAGCTGGCATTTGCACAAAATTCTGTCAAGTTTCAGAGTTCTTTCCAAAAATAACACAAACAATAATTACAATAATGTTTACTGAGCACTTATATACCAGGCAGTAATAAACTTACAAGGTAGTTGTTATCTACTAAAGAAAAATTGAGACAGGGGAAACTAAAGATCAGAAAATTTAAATAACTTGCCCAAGATTATTTAATTAAGTAGCACAACCCTTTGATCTGGTTGCAAAGGTTTTTACCCCCTAGGCAAAAACCTCTTACTGGACTTGTATGGAAGTGGCTCCCTAGACAAGGTGAAACCAAGGTAAAGAGGTAAGAGCAAGTATGGTTAAGAGGAGCTGAAGGATAAAGTAGGTTGTAGATTAACTATAATCAAACTTTCTGTTTCTTTCTTTCTTAGGTGTCTACTTCCTCTGCTCCACCCAGCAAGCCTTCCAGTATGAATCCCACAGAAACCAAGGTATGAAGAGGCTTCCTGGGTCAACTTGCATGAATGCCTTTAAATTGATTAATGTGAAGCAAAACAAATGTAGACTAACAGTTGACAGATGAGTTGTATGTCCTAGAAAGCTTAGGTTATAGAAGTAAACATTTCTTCCTAATTTGTGGGGCGTCTTTGGAAACTCAGTTTCCCTTTCAATATTTACCTCAAACAGCATCTGTACATTTCTATATCATTTTAGAATATCTAGTAAAGTATAGCCACCCAGAGTTTTTTTGGTCCTAGGCTTAACTGAATTTTTTATTTGAAAGATAATCTAAGTGCATTTATCTGGATGTAAATAAGAGTATAAGTTCTTAACTTCTTACTAAAATTGTTTTATTGTTCTAGTCACCTAAAACTAAATATAAGAATGAGAAAAGTTATACTAAGTGAACATAGAAAGAAGTGAAGCAGACACTGGTTATTTCATATGCTTTCTGAAGTTTCTTTCTGAAATTTGAGTCATGTGGGGCACCGTCTTAATAATGAACCTTTGTTGACCTCTATTTGAGATTTATTCTATTATTTCTTGAAATTTCAATAGAAAAAATAATGTTCTCTGGTGGGATTGTCACATAGAGTAAGCATAGGTTTGGAGTTGACTGACGCTCTCTTAAACCCTCTCCCTTAGTTACCATGTCTCAAGCTCTGTTCCTTGGGAGTATTCTGGACTGGAGGATTAAAGAGGGAGCACTTTCAAGATACTCTCAACTAATTTTTATGAGCCAATATTCTTTAGTGCCTTTAAGAGCTACCCGCGCTCCATTATTATTAAGTTGCCCTTGTTTAAAATCACCGACACACATTTACTTTTCTGTCGTTCATTATTACTTTGCTATCCGAGTGGGAGCCTATGCCATAATTTAGTGCTATTGGGGGATCCTATGGCCTCATCTTGAACTCTTTTTAAAGGACACTGCAAATATCTAGGAACATACTGTCTGAATCTAAGCTCTTACAAATGTCATCTAACATTTATTTTAATTTTTATATTTATTTTTAATCTAAAAATTGTTATCTTGTATTTTACATTTATAGCATTTTCTTAATTGTTTTCAAAATATCTATTATCCGATCCATAATTAATCTATTAGCTGTCACTACTTATTTATACCAAGCTTAATCTTAAAAATTAAAAAATATATATGATCTCAATCTTAAAATCTTACAACTGTAGTAGAAACATCTACCAAAAAGAAAAAAGCATTTCTCATTGACCTTAGAGTCCATGAAAACTAAAGAAAGAGGAGCCAAAAATACAGGCTTTCCTTTTTATTATTTTGGTTTGCATTTCACCCATTGCCTGATTCTAATCCATCCCCCCTGACTCTCAGTTCAAAATCCAATGGTTATTTCAAGTTTTCTAGAGAAAATATCAGTAAACTCTTCGGCCACTGCTAAGCATTAATCATGAGAATTCCTGGCAGTCCTACGGAACTGGAGGAAGGGAAGAGAAGAAAGTAGAAGAAGAGAGAAGGGAGGGGGAGACAAAAATAAGATGCCCACGCTGAAAAATCACCAAAGGCTGACTCAGGACCACTTTTGGCCTCATTTCTCTTTCCTTGATGGATTTTAGTCACACTGTTCTCAATCATCTTATCTTCATGTGCTTCTGATGTTTGGCTCATAACATTTTCACTAACCTCTTAGAGATTTCTGTGAACTTGATAAGCATATTTCTCCAAATATTTTGAGCTTTTAGAGAAAAGCTGTTAAATTCATGATAATACCTATACCAGACCCTTGTCATGTTCTACACCTTTCAGATGAAATTCAGTCTAGCTGTGAACGGTGGTAATATGTCTAGATCTAAGTTCTCTCTCTCTCCTGCCCCTTGCACATTACAATTGGGAGTCACACTGCTATGTGTGAGATGGAAGGTCGAATCACTTCTTATCAAATCATTAGGATAAGATCCGTGAGAGACTGTGTAGCATGGACACTGGAGCGAGATGGCCTCCTGGGAATACTAGTTCCATACCAGCTGTGGAACCAGCTATTGTTGGAAAACTCCTCTGCTTTGGTTTCCTTATCTGTACAGTTTGGAGGAGAATGATAATAGTACCTATCTCACAAGACTGTGTAAGCAAACACACATACAAGGGTATGGACAGTGCCTCAGAGAGTGCTTGCTGCAAGTAGGTGCCTAGCAGGTGCCTGGTATTGGACACACAATGCCGTGATCGAGAACAAACAGCCCCAGATCCACCATGATGTCTTCAGGGAGTTGTTTAACTTCTGTGTGCCTCAATTTCTCATCCATGGAATGGGGGTGATGGCAATGATGATGATGATACCAGTCTCACAGGATTATTATGAAGACTGAGTTGGTACATGTGAAGTTTAGAACAGTCCCTGGTACTGAGGTGATCAATAAGCATTAGGTATTATTGTCATCATTATTATGTTCAGCACCAGCACCACCAGCAAAAATAAATTTAGGAAATGTATTAGTGATTACTGATTAAAATGTACGTTTCATTATAAGCTGCTTGCATCTGTGAGTGTACATTCTTAATTGTATTGTAGATTTCTTCCATGCAAAATCTTCATTGCCAAAGTCCAAATTAGATGCTATTAATAGATTAAAACCACTATAATAACAGCTTGCTTATTTTCCTTGTTAATCATTTAATAAATTACATTTGCACAAACTCAGAAGGGCATAGTAGCACATATAGAAATTCATTAACAAAGATCCAATTTGAAAGGATGCAAAATTTAAAATTTCTTTAAGAACATTTCTTTGATGATGAACTTTGTTTCTTTCCCCAAACCATAAGTGTGTTGGCATAACAAGGGTCCATTATGTGAGGAAGGTATGTATTTTCACTACAGAAACACAAGACATGATAAATTAGGAGGATGTCTGGCATTAGCCTCTTTAGATAATAGAATAAAAAACAGAAGTTTGTGCGAATTCCACCAAACAGATAAAAGGGAAAGAAATGGCAGCAAGCATTAGGCCTAATTTTTAACCTCTTATTTTGAAAAGTTCATAATACATTTAATCAAGTTTTATCCCTGTTTTCCTGTGTTACCTATACCAAGAATGCATGTGTGTATTTAAGGAATTGTCTTTTTTGAAACAGGTAACCTTTGGTTGGCTAAAACTTTGTAGAATACTCCACTAAAGATCCCATAACCAGTTCTTCAGAAGCATTCCTAGAACTTTGGATTAGATCTCTAGATTTTTATTGTGCAGTAAAAATGCATGCACTATTTACAAAATTGTAAGGTTAAGTTGCCAAAGTTTCAGAAAACTTTTGACAACACCCATGACTATTCCTTTAAGCATAACCAAACATTAGAAATATAGGTGGAAAAATATTGTTCAAGCAGCCTTTACACAGAGAAGGGGAAGGAAAGGGATCTGAAATTAATTTTATTAATGGAAATCTTAACAAATTTTCTATCACCAAAAAAAAAAAAAATCCAAACTGAAATATTTTCTTGAGACTTTAAAATGTAAGCACCTACAATGTCTTGGGGTATTATACATCAACACAGAGTAGATGCAGTAGATCAGTAGAATGAGTCTTGATATAAACATAGTAGCCCTGTTTATACATGGTACTTATTTGACTGTCAGATAAAATAACATCAGACTTGGGCCTGTGCTCCTATATTAGGTCATTCCAATCAGGGAACAGATGGAAGGACTGCATCCTCCTAACAAGAAAAGACACAAAACACAGGTGATGTGTTTCCTTGTATGAGGGCACATTTCTTTTTACTGATGGTCACTTCAGCTTCTCAGCATGTGCTAATTGCAGATCACAATCCTCTGTAATGCTCAGACCCATCATAGACTTTCTGGTAGGCTGTCACCCATCGCTCACATCCTGGCATTGAACATAAATTCCACAGCTTTCTGTGCCCTCAGTTCTGTCACCATCCCATTGTTTCACACTGTCAGCTGAAACCCGTGATAAGTAGTTCACTCATACAGAGATCAATATGTATGTGGCTTAAAGGATGAGGGTTTTTTTAAATTTTATTTTGCTTATTAGCTACAATGTTCACGTAATAAATCTTCACATATCTTTGATAAACATAGGAAAAAGTAAGATGTAAATTGGTAACTAAATAGTAAGAGTGGACTATTAATTAGTGTGATTGTTTATCTAGAGTTACAATTCCAAGCAAAGTATGATCATCTTAACTCATATAGTTTACACTTATAAAGACATCAAAATCATCTCTTTTTAGTTTCTTTAGTTGAAGAAACTTTATGATAAACCTTGTTAATGATGTTCATCCTCCCTCCCTCCCTTCCTCTTTCCTTCTCTCCCTTCCTTCCTCCCTTCTTTCCTTCTGCTTTCTTTTTCTGAATTTAGGCTGCAAAAATAGAACCTGAAAAGAAGTCACAGTCAACTAAAGTAAGTTATTTAAGTCAACTAGTGAGTTATTTGGATTCTTGGCAATAATAATGAATAACCAACTTCCTCCATTGGTGGTACTGCATGGTAAAAGGATGTTTGTCCACTAATTTAATTAATTTTGTATTACTCTTTTGAACATGATTTTATAGAATGTATAAAGTAATTATAACATTAAATGTATATATTGTTAAAATCAATGTATAATATTTTATAAATAAAATCTGTATTTCAGAAGGAATTTTGTTCAAATGTATATTTTTTTATGGGTGAAGTAATTGTTTTTTAAAAAGCAACAGGAACAAAGGGGAGAGAGGGCAAAAGGTAATGAGTATTCAATTACTTTAATGATGAGATGTCAAGAATAACTTCTGTTGAACTCAGCACCTAGATAACTTAAAGATGAGATAACTGAAAGAGGCTGGCTGCCTTAATCTTGACAGTCTTACCTTGGTTGGTACAACTAGTTACTCAGGAGACAGCTCTAAGTTTCCCTTGGGAACAGCGTTTCTGGCTTGCCTGGCTCAAGGCTGTCTAGACTGAAAGCCAATCTGTGTCCACATGGAGATAGACCCCAGGGTATATGCAAGGCAGGAAAAATATTTCTCTTGAGTGCTGCTCTTTCTCTCTTTCAAGCACGCTTAAGAAAATACGAGGTGTGATCAAACAATATGATGAATGTTTAAATTTAAAAAATGTATTGCAGTAAAAGACACATTGCCATTAATCCCCCTCAAAATACTTCCCCCTTGCTTCGAATACATTTACCCCATCATTCTTGCCACTTTCTGAAGCAGTCCTTTTTCATGAGTGTCCTTAGTTGCGCTGTTGTAGCTGCCTCAATATCTTGAATCATTTTGACTTTGGGGAAGAGCCAGAAGTTCCATGGTGCCAGATCCAGTGAATAAGGTGGATGAGGACACACTGTCATGTTTTTATTTGGCAGAAATTGCAGTATACCAGAAGCGAAGTGTGACACGGAGAATTGTCACGATGGAGGATTTACGGCACACTTTAAAACACACCTTCTCTCAACCATAGCTCACATTCCAACTGACTGCACAGAACAAGTTGAAACTTGTCACACACTGTTACTAAGGTTCAATGCACTGCTTGCAGTATTGAAGATCCCTGCCTTTCTGTTGGATGGCACTCGGCAGCAGCATTCACTGTATTTGGTGATCACAATGGAAAGTGGGAAAGGCTCTGTGTCACATATCGCTTCTGGTATACTGCAATTTCTGTCAACTAAAAATATTGCTGTGTGTCCTCATTCGCCTTATTCACTGGATCTGACACTGTGCGACTTTTGGCTCTTCCCCAAAGTCAAAATGACCATGAAAGGTAAACATTTTGAATCGATTCAGGACATCAAGGCAGCCATGACAGTGCAACTAAAGACACTCACGAAAGAGGACTTCCAGAGCTGCTTCCGAAAGTGGCAAGAACGATGGGACAAGTATGTTCTAAATAAGGAGGAGTATTTTGAGGGGGATTCATGGCAGTATGTCTTTCACTGTAATAAATTTTGTTTTATTTGGTCATTCACTGTGGGTTTTGTATCACGTACTCAGATAAAACCACAAGGTTCCCTGTGGGAAAGCACAGAGATGCTGTGGGCTGAAGTACTTTAAGTGCAGGAAAGGGTAAGGTCATCTGGGTGAAAGGCGAGGCTTATCTGATTTTGTGTGAGGCATCTTGGTGGCCCCTGAACATGATAATTCCATCGTCCACTCTAGAGGAAGCAGCCAGGTGGAAGTTATCTTCTATGTTATATTTAAATGCTTTTGGTTATCTACCCTACCTCAAGAGAGTTGGGTTTCTGGTTTCTTCCCTACTTGTAACATTAAAAAGACTGTGTAAACCATTTAATTGAATAAAATGCCGTTTTCTTTATCTCCTATTAAAGGAGGTTAAAAAAATTAATTTCTGCAGTAGGACCCCCTGTCAACAAATTCAGTGGTCACAGTGATCATTTGACATCTCTGTGGATGGGCCTGCAGTTACCAAAAGACCTGCATGAATTGTGAAAAACAGCCAATAATTTAGAAATACATACCTATTTGGAAAATTGTTATAGATAAAATATAAATTTCGCATTATTTTCTGATAATTATCATTATCAGACTATTGTAGGATTGTCATTGACCAGACAACACACGTCTACTTTTCTAATTGGGCTTTTCCCAAGAGAGGCAGAATGGTCTACGTGGAAGTTTTGTTCTTGAGCCTGTTTGGAAATATGAAAACAATGGACTCCAGTGTAATTGAGATTTTCTTTTGAAATTAACAGCCATCTGTGATTCATGAGGAAAAAACCCAAGAAGTAAAGCCAAAGGAACACACAGAGGTAAATGATCCTTATTAGGACTTGATATCATAAGGTGGAGCCGTGTGTGTGTGTGTGTGTGTGTGTGTGTGTGTGTGTGTGTGGTGATACAACACTAAACTTCCACATTGAAGACTTAAGTCTTACAAGATTGACCGTTTGTTTTGGGCTAAAATGGCGCCACCATGTGGCAATAGCAGGGTTTGCCATTCACTCATGATGCTTGCTGAATTAGTGGGGAAGGAATTGCATTATTTTAAAGTTTGAACCCAAAGTGAAATTTTATCACATCTATATAACACTAATTTAAATTCGCACAATTCAAAACTACATAAAGCAACTGTTGTGAACACTTTCTACTCCATTGAGAAAAATATCTGTGTTTGCCATCTTGTTAACAATGTGATGTGTGTGTGTGTGTGTGTATTTTTATTTTCAGCCAAAAAGCCTACCCAAACATGCATCAGATACAGGAAGCAAGCATGCTCATAGTGAAAAAACAGTTTCCAGATCAAGTGAGCAGCCGACATCAGAGAAATCAACAAAACCAAAGGTAAATAAATCAGATTGATAGCTAGGAAAACACTAACATCAACTAGGGAGTGATATACAGGTCCTCTATCTACATAGACATGTGGAGGCGAATTTGCAGAGCTCTGCCGACTATATCTTGTACTGGAATGATTTTACTGGTTTTGCAAATAGCCTTGTGGAAACTTGGGCCTAGGAAAGGCCTAAGAAGAGCACCATAAGATAGGTCCAGGGAACGTTGCGTCCAGCCTCTCCTACTGCCCAGCAGTACCCCATCATGACTGCAAGGCAGTAGGCTCTGGGGTCTCACAGACGGGAAGATCAGGATTCTGGCTGCCTCCCAGACCCCTCTCCTCATGGGCTGTGGGAACACAGATGCCCTTCATGATCTGCTGTTTACATGGAAGTCTTAAAGAGTTTTTAGAGTCTTGTTCTAGAAGAGATGAACTTAGCCCCCCAGAAAAATCAGAAATAGATTCCATATTTCTAGAGCTACTGGGGGCCAACTATTAGAAGAATAAACATCTGTGAGAGGACCTTCCATTGAGAGCTCTTGGACTACAAGAACTAGCTGCTTCATAATGTACTTCATATATAAGTCTGTGGCCCAGCACTTAAATGCAGCCCATGTGTGTTGTGCTCAAATCTATTTTGTTTGGCTTACAGTATTATTAAAATTATTTTTAATTAGTTGCCAACCATTAAAGTCAGAATATTTCACATAAAATCAAAATTTCTAGCTTCTCTTAAAAAATCAGAATTTCTGACAACAGTGTGCTCACATGGCAAGAACTAACTAAAGCTTTACACCTGGTATATAAATGCTGATTTGCCACAGTCCCTAGCTGGACCATGTCACTATTTGTGTTACCTGCACAGACTCTAAGTTTCTGAGCCTAGCTTTATGGGGTGCCTGGTTGCATCCTACGTAGTAGAAGGAAGCAACCATTCCTTGACAAGATGCCCATGAGGGTAAACGGGCTTGGTAATGATGTTTGAAATGCGTGATCTCAAAAATAGTCATTCAAAAATACTTAGTGCTATTAATCTTTTATCCCCACCCTTAGACTACACCACAGGACACAATTTCTGCAGGTGGAAAGAGTATTGCTGGTGTAGCTGCAATATCTAGCAAACAGGATGACAAGGTGAGCTCACATAAGCAGATGTAAAGTGTCTATGGGCCTTGATGCTTATCAGGCCTCTTTTATGAGAAATGTATGCTCCGTGAAGACCCATTCTCCCCGAGCTTTAGGTCTGGCTCTCCTTAGCCATTTAGGGTTCCATTGCTACTACGCTCAAATAACCTATCGTTTGCGAACACTGAACACTATTCACATGTGAAATTTTGTGAAGTGGTTCATGTAGTTAAATGGTATACAGTAGGCAAGATATCAAAAATGTATCAAAAATGATTTTAAAATTCATACATTCAGTAAGCTTATTGAGTACCTGCCATGTATAAAGCCTGGTATCAGTACCAAGGAAGTTAACTTGTGAGTTGACTCAGATTTTGCCTTCAAGATGTATCAGTTTGAAATAAAGCAAATAAAATTGCCTTGAACATTTGAATAAGCATTCATTTCAGCTTTCAACGTGAACTCCAGCTCTCTTGATACTAGTAAATCACAAATAGCCATGCCATTACATGAATTGTTATAGGTTTTCAAAGAAGGCATCAAAAGTGCTCTCAGAAGACAGTATATATGTGTCCCTCTGGGCAATTATGGGTAAGTCTTTTTTATCCTTTGATGAGTCACTTCAGATACCAGTCTGGAAACGTAAGACGAGAAGTAGTCTACCTTCCTACCCACAGAAGTACAGAGCAAGTCCTCATTTTGAAGGCCATGTCTCCCTAGAAATGCTAGTACTTATTTCTCTGGAAGCCACAGTAAGTAAATGAAGCAATAATGAGAAGGTGGAAATGAAAATAGAAGTAGTATATATTTATATTTCCCTGCTTCTCAAAATGGGAAAGGTATTCCCCTGTAGGATAGATGGTAAGGAAAGTCATAGGAGAAATTATGTCACATCTCCCTGAAACATCAATTTTTTTCTCAGATTTTGGGGGGAAATGTGCATTATTTTTGTTCTAACTAATGCAGATATCCTATAGAGTAATGGTAAACTTTATGTAAATTTCTAAATGAAAATACCCAATTTAAATTAAAATAATATTTTCTTGCATCAGACCACTTGAGACCCAATTTCCAGCTCATCCCAGGGGTTCACATTACTCTCTCATGTTGATGAAATGGTTTGAAAAATGGGTGGATTTAAAACAGAGGATTGGGTATGTTAGAATAGATTTTAAAATGTAATCAAAATTTGAAATTTTATGCTAGCTGTAATTTAGCCAGGGTTATCAGTAAAAGCTCGACAATAAAATTAGGAGAGGCTTATATGGAAATCTGGTGTCCATTGACTCGTGCTGGAACTTGTGGCAACTCATTTTACTTTTCTTTGCCTTTGATTTGTCTCCCATAAAATGGGATTGATCAAATCTGCATTTCTTTTTAAGTACATACCATGCTTAAAGCACTGTGTCTGACTGTGCAGGACACCCGAGCTTCAGGCTGACCCATCTAGGGGTAAGGAAGAAGACAACATACCCGGGGCTGCAACTCAAGCCAGATTAAGACAGGGAGCAGTTTGGAGAGGAACGGAGGCATTCTGTCTGATTGGGGGAATCTGCAAGGGCTTTGAGGAGATCCAGTTTGAGTGAGGCGTGGAAGGATAGCTAGGATTGCAGGCTTGCAGACGCATCAAGGTGGAAAAGCATAAAATGTGTTCTGGGTATACAGCGCACATTCCAGCGTTGGGTGAAGCACAGACAGGTGAGTGGTAGGACTCTTAAGACCAGAAAAACGAGTTGAGGCGTTGCCATGGAGACTACTAAGGTGAGTGTACACATGAGGTAGTAATTCAACAGGCAGAGGATAAACATTGAAGATCAGACAACAGATGGAGTGATGTGATTAAAGCCAAATTGCAGAAGGATTTAGTGAACTCAGTGGGTGGGATGAAATGGAATAGAGCTAGGAAGGTAGAAGATGGGTCAGGCGCTGTTTCAGTAGTCCTGGTGAATCCTAATTTATCCTAAATTAGAGCTGAGATAGAACAAGATAGCGGGGAGAGATGGAGGAGGCGTTGCAGAGGTAAAATCCTCAGGCTTTAGGACATGATCGGCTGCAGTGGGCAAAAGCAAAGTAAAATCACATAACCTGGGACTTTGGAGTGTGAATGAACTAGGTTGGTAACCCTAGTGAGGGCTTGTGCCAGTGCAGGGCTGGCACCCCTGGGAGTGAGTGTGTCCTTAAATTGTGAGCCTTGTTCTGGTTACTACTGACAGATGGACGGAAGTCACAAGAGGAAAGAGGCTGAGGAGGAAAAGTGGTGTCTGATTTTAGAGAGGCTGAATTTAAGTGTTTTGAGGTGTCTTAAGAAAGATGTCTAGCAAGGTAGTTAGAATATTGTTTTGGCATACAGGAGAACGGAAGGGGGGGAAAGAGAGACGCGGGGAGGGAAGGGGAGAAGGATGGTGAATGAATGTCTGCATAAGGTTGTGGTTGAATCATGGAAGTGGATTCAACTGCCCAGACTCAGGCTCAGACTTTGGTGGCTCCCACAGTATTTTTAACGTAATGGTCACCGCAGTCATTTATCTAGCACTTACTTATATATTAAGTACTTACAAAGGGCTTAATAGGTACCAAACATAGGCTTTCACATTTTATGTAATCCTCACAATTCCTGAGGTAGGTGCAGCCGCTACTGTAGTCTCACACATGAGGATACTGAGCTGCAGAAGAGCCACCTGCCTGAATTTTCACGCAGCCAGTGTGTGTCAGCTGGTGTGCAAACCCAGACAGTCGGAGTCAGTTTTCTCTGCTTCCATGCGCTGCTGCCCAGATTTCGGGGACCTGCAAAAGGGACAGCAGCATAGGTTTACATCAGTATAATGAATGAAACAATGCCGCCATCCTATTTTTAAGGTTAAGAATGATTCATTGTGAGGAATAACCTGCATTCAAAGGGGAAAACAACAACTTTGGGAAAAGACCTTTTACTATTTAACTCAGATTAAAAGTGATTGTTTAATTTGTCTTAAACCCGACAACTTCACCCATTTAGTGAAGACCCTGAAAGTGTTTGGCCCCTGGCCCTAGAGAGTGATTTTGGATAGGACCACCAGCGCAGGGCAGAAATGTGTAGGATGTGTGTAGTTGGGGGCAAAGTAGAAGAGATGTCAGAGGTGGCAGAGAACGGAGGGCACAAGCGCTGAGTAGAACCGGGATTGTGCTGGGTCGTGGCTGCTGTGAGAGATGAGAGCCAGATTGGAGTTCTCACCAGGGTCACATTCAGTGAAGATTGTATCGGGTAAAGGCATGGAAGTCACAGCTTGGAAAGTTATTGGCAATCATTGATAGGGCAACTGAAGCAATGGTAGGAAGGAAATTCACTTTAGGGAAATGAAAGAGTCGGTGATGAAATGTAAAAGGAAAGGGTGTGAGGGTCTTGATGTGTGGGGGCAAAGGCTGAAATAGCAATAGCTAGAAGTGGCCACTTACTGAAAGAATTCATGGGTCTTGCGAAGATGGGCCCTGGGAGAGGGAACCAAGAGTAGTGAAGAAAAAGATGGCAGTTCTCGATTCAAATCTTGGTTCTGTGTTTTACTGTGTCTTAAACATTATTTAACCTCTCTCAGCCTTGCTTTCCACATTGCTAATATGTGTATTAATATTGTTTATTAATATTATTTATGCTGTTCTGAAGAATGTAACACTTACTACATAGTGTCTTACACAGAGCAGATGTTTAGTATATAATCAATATTAATATTATAATGAACTCATTTTTAAATATATTATTGAATTTTAAAATGTATGTGAAGGAGTTCTTTTTTTTTACCTTTCTAAACTCCCACCAGAAAACAGAAAATAAACCATTAACCTTCAGCTGTACTAGTTGAATCCAAATGGGGTAAACCATCTGGAAAGGTATGAAGATAGTGCATTTCTGCATAAGACATTTATTTATATCCTCTCCATTTCTCAAGATCTGATTTCTTCAGGGCAAACAGTATGAGATGGAGATAACTTGAAGGACCTTTTTTAATGAATTGTTTCAAGCTAACATGACTGAGTTGAAAGTATGATTTTATCACATATGTTTGTAACATTTTATATTATAACCCTCTGTCCTGAAAACTCCACTTACATTCCATGGAGTTTACATTCCAATATCTCTCCTTCAAAGACAGACACCTTCTTTAAACAGAGGTATCAGTAAAGAATGTCAGGTTCTTCATTTTGAAATTCCCAAGTGAAGCAGCCTAAAGCTAACAGGTCCCAAATAGAATGAGTTCCTAAAATTGTAAAGGGAATATAATAGTTGCAAAAAATAAATAAATAAATAAAAAGTTAAACAGTCACTTTTAATCTGAGTTAAATAGTAAAGGGTCGTCCCCAAATTGTTGTTTTCTCCTTTGAGTGCAGGTTTTTCTTCACAATGAATCATTCTTAACCTCAAAAATAGGATGGCGGCATTCTTTCAGCCATTTTACTGATTAAACCCATATTGACAGAGTAATTGTCACTTCTTATAAGTTTAACATCCCTTTCAGGTTATTTCTGTTAGTGACCTCCTTTGGTCAAACAAGTGAACAACAACACACACACACATACATACACACAAATGAGTGGACCACAGGGCAGTCCATTTTTGACATAGATTTCATTTGGAAGAAATGCTATAGCGAGATTTTTGTTGGGGTTCTTTGTATATATAACTCTGGAAAATATTGATCAGCAATAAATACAAAGCATTTCTCCTATTGCATATAACAACATGGTCATAATTCTTTGTATTTTGTTTTGTTCTTTTTTTTTTTAACTGTCAGTACATTGATTGGTCTATCAGCTTTAATGAACCATATATGTGTTCATGTAGTTAATGCCTTTAGACTTATTAAAATTACAATTCCTACCTGAATATGACTTTTTATGTTTCCACCCTAGAATCTGTACTCTGAGACTTTAAACAATAAGGACTACTGCAGACCAGATTTTTAACTATTTTGATATTTGAAGAACTTTTGGTGTTTGGTGTTTTTCTACAAAGAATAGTGTTGTTTGGTTTAAAAAGTCAAAAGTGAAATATGGATAACAAATAGCATTTAAATATCTGCACTCTCTCTCTCTCTCTTTTTTTTTTTTTTCCAGTCAGGTATGGATGCTGCTTTGGATGACTTAATAGACACTTTAGGAGAACCTGAAAAAACTGAAGACGATAACAAAACATATACTGGACCTCAAGTTTTGGTATGTGATCTTAATATCTGTAAAGATTCATTCTTAATGGGTAGGAGAGAAAAATAAGGACATGATGCACAAAATTTTACCTAGTGTTCTGTTGCTTAGAGAGAAACAGGATGATGTATCAATAACAGCGACTAAAATTAGTGTTGGAAATGGAAATAGTTTATCCTCTGATAGCTGTACTGTTACATTGATTCAGCAAACATTTAGTGATTGTCTGTGCTGAGACTGGTGCTGCAAGCAGCCTATTGGGTCACAAAGACTTTTCTGTCCTCGAAATCTGAGTCCCATGGACTTAACTCATTTTGGTTTCTAGATAGTTACCACCCTCAGTTCATCCTTATTCCTAATTCCTAAGAAGCATGAAAATTGTATGTTTCTCAATATTTAAAAAAGAAAAAAGAAAGAGGAGATATGCCATAGACTGGAAGGAAATATTTGCAACTGATTTAACAAAGGATTTGTGTCTATAATTTACAAAGAATTTTAAAAAGTGAGAAAAAGACAACCCAATAGAAAATTAGGAGAAAACTTCGTTGGCCAATAAACAAATAAAACGAAGTATCCCTAGTAATTAGGAAAATGATATAAAAACATGGAGCGATATCACTGCGCACTCATCAGATTGGCAAAAGTATAAAAGTCTGACAACTTACTTAGAGCTCGTGGATGTTGAAAGGGCGCATAGCCTTCTGCCAGCAATTCCACATCTAGGGGATTCCCCGGAGGGAGCCTTGCTCATGTGTACAAGCAGAACAGCTGAAATATTTGGAAACAATTACATTCAACAGGCAACAAGATAATATAATGAAATACTTTGTAGTGGTTAAAATGGATTATTCATGTATCCACATGGATACATTACAAAAACATAATTTTGAATAAAAATAATATATTACAGAATGATATCTAGAATATGATACCATTTCTATAACATTTGAAAATATGCAAAGTAATGCCGTATATTGTTTGTGGATACCTACATGTAGAACAATCATTTTAAAATACTATGCTCGGCTTTAAGTGGGTTAATATGATAAAGTTCAGGGTGGTGGCTATCTCTGGTTAACAAGGAAGGGAAATGGGAATGGAAAGGGCTAAACAGGAGACATCACTCTCTTTTTTTCCCTTAGAAATTACATAAGAAATAACTATAAATCTGATAGAGTTGGGTGTTGGGTTATATAGAAATTTATTGTCATTATTACACTTTTGTATGAATTGGAAATGTTAGACAATGAACATTTTAATGTTTTTTCATATTGGAACGTATTTTAATATTGGAGTCAAATTTAATATAGTAGTTTGAATATTTTCTAGCATTACATATGGGTTAAGCCAGTTGAATAAGGGCAAGTATTTGTGTAAACTTAGAATTTCAAAGTTGTGTAAAGTATTGGCTTCTTAATGCTTTACATTTTATTTCAATACTACCATAAATTAAGAACGGAATAGTGCTTTGGTTTCAGAATATGTATATAACATCCTCTGCTAAATAATTATATAATATCCCTATTTGTGTGATTTTATTCCAGGATCCAATGAGTTCTACCTACATAGAGGAATTGGGTAAAAGAGAATCCACAATTCCTCCAAAATACAGGGAACTTATCAATGTAAGTTAAATAACCGTTTACTTTCACTTTACCATTTCCTTTATGGAACATAATCTTTATCACATCAATATAGTCAGTTTTTTAAATTTAGAAGATAAAATAGGGCATATGAAATTGTCATTACTCTGGCGCTCACTGTATTAATTTGCTAGGGCTGCCATAACAAAGCACTACAAACTGGATGGCCTGAACAACAGAAATACATTATTATCTCACAGTTCTGGAGGCTGGAAGACCGGAATCAAGGTGTGAGCAGGGTTGGTTCCTTCTGAGGACCTTGAGGGAAGGCTGTATTCTAGTCCTCTCTCCTTCGTTTGCACATGGCCATCTTCTCCCTGTATCTGTTCATATCGTCTTCTCACTGTGTGTATCTCTGGGTCCATATTTCCTCGTTTTATAAGAACACCAGTTACTATTGGATTAGGGCCCATCCTAATGTCCTCATTTAATTACCTTAATTACCTCTTTAAAGGCCCTGTCTTCAAAACAGTCACATTCTAAGTCCTAGGGGTTAGGATTTCAACAGTATGGATTTTGGGAGGACACAATTCAACCCATAACACTCACTGAGCAATACATTTTTCTGACTGTAAGGATTAATTTTTGGCTTCTCAACATTATCAAATGAATATTTTATTTCAGAAAAAAGATGGGATCACAGGGCCTCCTCCAGATACTTCGGTGAGTTTTCATAAGTGTCTAAGATCCCAATGAACATTTTTTGTATCTTTGGTTGGGGGGTAGGGCTGTCAATTCTGTATTTTAGGATTGTGGCTCTAAATCTAAATCTAATCTCTAAATCTAATCTAATCTCTAAATCTGATCTCTCAATCGATGAAGTTTCCATCTGTTCAGAGAACAAGGTGGACGTAGGGTTTGTCTCAGTGCTCTTTGGTTTCATATGGAGGTTTTTGTTTTGTTTTGTTTTTGAGGGAAAGAAGAATGGAGCCAAGAAAGTTTTAGGATAAAATAAATGTTAATAAAAATAGAAAGAGAATATCCTAACATGCAATACGTTTAGAAGAGGGGAACAGGAAAATAATATTACAAATCCTATTCCCTTCCATACATAGGCTTTCATCTGAGTTACTTTATTAATGTGTCTCATTTGGTGGTAAAGGAATTGCCAGACTACATTCTTCATTTGCTGGGTTTATAGTCGGGTCTTTCCCTTGAGGGATCCCCCACGTGTTACCAATCATGATGCCTGTTTCTGTAGAAACCCATGGGACCCGATGATGCCATCGACGCCTTATCATCTGACCTCACCTGTGGTTCTACCGCTGGTGGAAAGGAAACAGAGAAAGAGGTATTGTTTCGAGTGTTATTAGGGGAACTTGTTAGAAACCCTCTGGAACTTTAAAACATCTACCTTTTTAGTTCTGGTGACTACCTTTCCCCTCATCTATAAATCTAATCTTTCATATTTTGTTTTTCAGAAATCCACGGGAGAGGTTTTGAAAGCTCAGTCAGCTAGGGTAATCAAAAGTGCTGCTCCACCCCACGAGAAAAAAAGAAAGACAGAGGAGGTATAAATAATTACTTTTTTTGAAAATAACCACAGTTCACCTGACAGCACTTGTTTTCCTGAGGCTGATCTAACTGATTCAAGACCATCCCGATAGTGCATTACACATGATAAGGAGCATCTTTTCTCCCACGGGTCTATGTGGACTACTAGCGAAGCCAATCGGTAATATTGATCATGTCTAGGCAGGTCTTCTCTGTTTCTATAAGTGCTGATGGGGGATTTCAGCACAATCTTCTTAGTCGTGAAACAGGACTGTCTCACCATTACAATACACAGAAGGGCAGGACACCAGAGAAATTATACTCTTGGAACATAAAATCTTTAACGTGGTTTCCTAAAGGAGTTTGAGCCCTGTGAAATTGCTAAAGGGATGTTGTAGCTGCTTCTGCCCACCTCTCTTAACCAAAGCAACTATGACTTAATTCTCACGAATCCTGAAATGCGGTCCTGTACCTCTGGGCTGGATGAGAATACGTGCTCCACCTGCAAACAGTCCAGATAACACAAGGGACAGTTTCTGCCGGAGCTGCTCTGCCCTCCCCCGTCCTGGCGTGGACAGTTTATTTTTATCTGGCTGGCTAGAGGAACAGTAAGAGCACCACACCCTGAGAGTGGGAGTTCCTACAGTGATCAGCCATCCTCCCTGCTGAGAAGAAGGTGGCGAGGGGCCCCCCTAGGTTTCCTTGCTTTCTGGGCTTAGCTGGTTTGCTAAAGGACAGGGTTGTCAGAAGTCATTTTTAGAAAAAGAAAAACAAGATAGTGAAAGTTGACTTCTCACAGCTTTTATTTTGATATGAGTATTTATAATGGCATAATTATTATCCTAGTTATACTTCTAGCTTGCTAAATAAGAGGCACAGTGTGCCCCTGAGAGCACTGTTACTGTAGAAACGTGTCTTAGCCCCAGTTTTCACTCATTGGTAAGTTTCTTTCTTATTTCTCTCTTTTGCTAGGTTTCAAATAAAATTACCTTCCTAAAATCTTTCCCCAATCCATGGTTCATCTTGTAAATTTATAATTTAGATTTCACAAAGACGTGTATGGATTGTTCAGGTTTAGGAGATGTTCTCTCTCTCTTTTTTATTAATGGACTGCATTTTTCCTTTTGAACAGGACACAATGAGCGATCAAGCACTAGATGCTCTTTCAGCTTCCCTGGGCAGCCGGAAGTCAGAGCCTGAGCTCGACCTCAGCTCCATTAAGGAAATCAATGAGGTACTGACCTTGGAGTTCATATACAAATGTTAGTGTGCAGGTTACAAAACTAAATATGTAATGCATGTTTAGAATTCTTGTGCAACTTTTATTTTATTGGAGATTGAACTACTCTTCATTCTGCCTTACTTTTAGGGTCTGGTTAATTTAGTTATTTATTGCTGGGGAGTTAGCAACCAAGAAGGATATTTGAGTGTGTGTCTTGTAAACCACCTAGAACTTTAATATTTAAAATGAACACTAATCTTCCTTTGCCAACGCTTAAATGACACCCGACTAAAGAAGATAACACAGAGACAGTCGCCTGTTGAGAAATAGGTTTGTCTGCGTTTGTCTGTTCTTAGGGAAATGGGAAATTTGTGTTTTCAGAAGGGTTTCAGGTACATCTCTTAATTAGAGAGGGAGATGACTGTAGGTGGGTGGAGAGACCCTTCTTTTTATAACTATGGGAAAGATACTGACAATTTGTCTCAAATTAGAATAAAATATATAGAGACCATTACTCTGTAACTGAAGCTGCTGCATGTTTAAAGCATGAGGCTGGGTAGTTTTTAGCCCACCATACTTAACAAGACCTTCACAAGCCTTCTAAGCCAAACCAAGATTATATTTGGTGGAGGAGAGTTTTCATATTACATTTTTTTAAAAGAATTTTTCAACTGAGTCCCCTGGGGGGAAAGAGGAAGGGAAAAAGAGATTAGCCCTGGAGACATTCCAGACAAAGCATAATAGGGAGACATGGACAGGAGCACTGCCCTATCAGCTTAGGAGGGGAGCTGGCAGGTGTCGCTGTCACAATGCCCCTGCCTGCGCTGTCACTTCCTGTTCTGACTCATTGGGACTCCTAGCAACTGTCCCTGAGTCTGAGACTGCCCTGGTCCAAAATGGGCCAGTTTCTATCCTCGACTTTCCTGGAGGACTTACCGGACGCAGTGTGGTACAGTCTTCTTGAAGACGAACACAGGGGAGCAGGAGAAGCAGCCCTTGTCCTCCAGGACCAAGTAATGTATTGAGAAGAAAAGACACTTTGATTAAAACACAGTTTGAGATACATGTCAGCATTACTTGGAGCAGCCAGATAAAAGCCATGTCTAGAAGAAAGGGTGGTCCTGGCAAAGCCCTGGGAAGGGTGGTATCAGACCAAGTTGAGTTGTGGTCCCATCACCAGAGGGCCACGTGGCAGTGAGCCAATTGCACTTTTGCCTCAGGCTTTTTACCGAGACCTAGGGTGTTTAATGAGTCAATCATTTGGGGAGGGAAGGCATAAAGATAAATCGCAGGGCAAAAGGAGTCTTAGAGAGATTAAAATCAGATAAATAGATGTAAAAAAAAAAAAGTTTAATAAAAATAACTTATTAAGTAGTTTGGGTAACTAGTTTTGGAATCCATATAAGTGTATTAAATTTCCTCTAGAAAACCTCAGCAGCAATCAAGTCCTAAAAGATTAATAAAAATAACTATTTTTTTCCCATTTTCTTTTCTACTCTTTTTACTCATTTTTCTTTTCTGTTACATACAAAGTGTAAATATTCCCTAAGAAGATATTTTAATCCTTCGGATTTTTAAACTGAAGTTTTACTATCTAATTGTGAATTCATTACTTCCTGTAGAGTCTGATGTTGTGATAAAGCTCATATCCTACAGGAGTCCACAGTCACTCCAGTACATTCCATACTAGAGAGCTCCGCGAGGAAAAATTACATAATAATACTTCAGAGAACAGGTCCTTGCCTGCTTGTCATTTTCATGAGGTATCATAACGTAAGATAATATTTATAATGATACCACGTTAGTAATCTCCATTTCTGTGTATAGTTACCTACACTGGTACGATTTCAGTTCATTAGACGTTTGCTTTCAATGCTGGAATGCAGGCATGTAAAGACTATAAAGACCAAGGAGGAGTAGAAAGGTTCTAGCTGTGCATGTAACTCTTTGTGGAGCAGTGAGGACAGTTGATCAAACAGGTGACCCTTGACTTGCATGAAGGCTGGTTTATAGGTGGAGACCTCACAAATCTATGAACTAGGGAATACCACTATATAATAGGGCTCCCTCCATATCCTGCAGTAGAATATAACTGGAAATGTTAAAAAACAAAACAACAACCAAAAAAACCTTTCATCCCTTATGAAGAGTTGTTATTCTATAAAACAACTGTAATTCCAAAGCCTAGAAGAATGCCTGGCTCATTAAAGTGCTTAATGTTTTTAAAATTAATCAATTGACTAATCGTTCAATGGAGAACTACAACCTTAGGATGTAGTGGGAGCAGTGGGTTGAGCTGGAGTTTGCTAAACGACACCCCCACACACACACCCTCTTGGTGCCCAGGAGCTCCTTGGTTTGTGATTTAAATCCATGCCTTGATAGAGGTACAAATCGTTATATGTAATGGAACTTTGCATTGCTGACCAGTCGTTTAAAATGCAAATGTTATATCCTAGAAGCCAGTGATCTATTATAGAACCACTGTACATTTTTATTTCTAATGGTGTTGGTGGTTTCTGGTTCATTAATCCAGTGAAGTCCTGGCATTATTGAAGGGAGTCCTGTTAGAATAGGTCAAGTCAGTTATCCATGGATCAGCCGAGATTTGTGGTGGGCTGCTTCTCCCATTTCCGAACTGTGGTCAACATTCATGGGAGTTGGTCGTTTTCTCCCCCGTAGATAACTGTCTCATGAAGACTGATGAAGGGTGTGACAATAGATGCAAGTAACTTCTGCACTGTGCTTAACCGTCTCAAAGGATATTTTATTTACTTTTCTCTGGTGGTTCTTACAAGTCAGTAGCTAGCCAAGGATTACTAGTAGCCCCATTTTTAGCTGAAGAAACTGAGTGAAAGAAAGCCTAGGTGGCTTCCCAAGGCCTTGGAGCACCTGAGAGCAGGGCAGGGACACCTCCCTGGGAGTCCTGTGTTTTTTCTGTCACCCCACCTGCTGCTCACCATGGTCTGTGCTTTGCAGTTTACAAAGCACATACAGACACTTTTATTGGATTTGGTCTTCTCTACAACACCCAGGAAGTACATAAAGTGATATCATCTTATGTTACTTGTGTTATCCAAATATTTACCTGTTTATTTTTTTCTCCACTTTCATCAGGCAAAAGCCAAAGAAGAGAAACTAAAGAAGTGTGGTGAGGATGACGAAACAGTCCCATCGGAGTACAGATTAAAACCAGCCACGGTATGTTGTTAGCCACTATGCGTAACAGCAGCACACACCTCTTGCTTTCCCATCATGTTTTGTGGTGTCTGTTCTCATGATGGGTAAAGACACATCTGTCCTGGTTCATGTACTAACCCTGAAAACCCTGAACCCTTTCTTCTCTGCTCTGTACAGTTGGACTCTTTAAGGGACGGTTTCCTAAGTCGTGAGTGACCCTGTGGTCATTAAAATCCCCACAAATTCAAGTGTTTCTACTATTAACAATGCTTGACATAGATTCTTAAGCTTAAAGCAGAATGAACAATTTAGGAATAATTTTTTTTCTCTAAGTGCTATATGGATTAAAGCACTTTAGGTCGTCTAAGTGGTAGATATGAAAGTATAGCTATGTACCAGTATCCTCAGTTAACGTGCTTTTGTTGGTTTTGTTTTGAGATGAGGATGGTGGACTAACTCCTGTAATTATAGTTCTAATTTATCTTTGAAATAATGTATATTATTTCACATACATCATGTATAAACACATGATGAAAAATAGTTGCGATTCTTATATATGCTTATAGATGGAAAGTTTTTCATGCTTAGAAACATCTCAACTCTTTATTCTGGTAATTGATAAAAAAAAAATCTGAACTAGAAATTCACTCAAATATAAGAAAAAAACAGACTCTCCCCTCATATCCTGGAATCCCCCAAAACAAACATAATGGGACATAAAAGCAAAATTTTCTGTTTCATTTTCAATTTTGTTTACAGGATAAAGATGGAAAACCACTATTGCCAGAGCCTGAAGAAAAATCCAAGGTTAGGAAATAAGTTTTTTTTGAATACTTAAAAAAAAAAAATAGAACTGTGAAGTATAAAGTGAGATGATAATTTTGACAGACAGGATTTCACTGTGGCGACTTGGCACTCCAACCTAGCATGAAAGAGAGGGAAACTTCCAATAGCCACACTTCACTCATAGCTCTGACTCCTTTTCACGTATTTTAATTATTATTTTCCTCATGGATTATACTAGACTATTATAAATTTCTAGGTGACGTTCACTGAATATTAGGAACTAATGTCAAAAGGGCTCTTAAATTGTTAGCACTTAGAGTTTGATTCTAATCACAACATCAAATACTCCGATGATTCTGTACTGATATTACTTAAGTTGGTATCAACAAGCATAGTTACCTAACGTCATGATAATACTAAGCAGCAGCATTTATTAATCACTTACTATGTGCCTGACACTGCATTAGATGCCTTTCAAATGTTATCTTTTTGAGTCCTCATGGAATGAGGAAAGCACTGTTATTATTCCCATTTTACAGGTGAAGAAACAGATACAAAAGGATTGTATAAATAGCCTAAGGTCACACAACTAGAAAATGGCAAGGCCAGAACTCCAAATTCAGGCTGTCTAACATGGGGGGCGGGGAGCCCAGCTTCTGAATCACATGTCAGAATGACATAGATCACTGTTATGAGTCAAAATCTCCACGTGCCCTAAACAAATAAAACCTCTTCACCTGCAGGAACGTTCTTGCCAAAACCCCATGTAGTCATAGAAGAGGAGTATATGATCTATTTTTATACTCCAGTCCTGCCACCTCTCTAGGACGGGCCAGGCTATCTCACAGAAAACTTTCTGGAAGTTTTTCCTATGCCATTTTAAGAACAATCACCAGGAGATTACTTCTTTCTTCTTCCTGGCTTTCAGCTTCTCTTGTGGTACACCCATTCCATTGTCTTCCTTATTTCCAAACCAGAATGCTAGGTTCGATCTTGTAAGTTTCTCAGTGTCACTGTATAAGTTGCACACACTTAATGTGTAATATAAGAACCTTGCTCTAATTTTTAACATTTTAAGTTTTTTAAACATATTCTAATTTAGCCAATAATTCAAATTTTATCAGTCTCTCATATTTACTGACTTATTTAGAAGGGAAGTCAGTAGGAAGTAGAAAAAAAAATGCAAAAAAAAAAAAAACCCAGAAAAAGCTATACACATCTTCATTGGAAAGAACAGGCAATTTTATTTGAACAAAATTACTCTGAAATTGAAGTATCAAGAAAACTTGAAATCATTCACGTTTGTGGTCCTGAGATGTTTAATAGTCCTTATTTATTGCACGACATTTATTGTACATGAAATGCCCTATATGTTAGCTTTTGGTTTTAGATCCTAAAATATGGCCTAGTGTGTGTTAACCAGAAAAAAATTTGCAGTGAAAACTGTTTTTTTACCAAGTGAAAAATAGTCACTTCATAATATACAATGTTTCTTGTATTTCAGACCCTGAGTGAATCAGAACTCATTGAAAAGCTTTCAGAAGATTTTGACCAGAGCAAATGTAAAGAAAAACAATCTAAGCCAACTGAGACAGCAGAAGTATGTTTCTAAAAATAAGTCTCTAGTATTGCTTATTTTCTGATGTTTTTCTATAATCTTAAAAATGTGAGACCAAAAGTATTTTAGCACAAAGTGGGTTGATAAAAAAAAAAAAAAAGGCCCATGATGATGTTGTAGTTTTACATGCAGTTTTTGTCCTGCCTTTTTCTGAAGGTGTTTTTTTCCCCCAAGCTGACCCTGTAATTCTTGCAGTTGAAGTCCTGTAATTATTACTTCAGGAAAGCATTCACACCCATGCTTTCCTTTCTATTCCTGCTTCCATGACTGCCCTAGTTAAAGTCATCATCACCACTCAAGTTGGCAATGACCTCCATCTTCCGTCTCCTTCCAGTCCACCCTGTATGTCCACCAGAGTTATTCTTGCTTGAGCATGATCGTCCCCCTACTCCAACCCTCAGGAGCTTCCCTTTTCCTACAGAGTAGACGCTCCTACTAATGTGTTCTGGCCCCAGCTTCCTTTCCTTCTAAGGTGCATCCCCACGTTGCTAAACCAGGACATTAAGTGCATATCTCTATAGCTTTTCTCATGTGGTTCCTTCTGTCAGGAATAACCTAATTCTACATCAACTAAAATCTGAGTCGTCCCTTGAAGGCTCTGCTAAAATGTCACATTTGTCGCCTGCTTTTCCCTCCCCAAACCTGACCACCCTTCCAACGTTTATTAAGCAAAATAGAACATGCCACAGGTCTATGTAGTTCTTTCTTTATATATCCCTGTTAAGGCATTGGTTGCAAACAAGTTTTTAACTCTGTTGGTCCTTCTTCACATCTTACATATGTACATAGCTTTAAAAAGTACGTTTTTTAAAAGAAGCAATCATACCTTATTAATAGTCACCTGCTAAACACCTTGCATATAGGATAGACTTCCATAAAGACCTGGATTTAAAAAGTTTGAAATTTTACCTTGTGATAAAACAAGATAGTACATTGGTTCTCAAGCTTTAGCATCAGGATCCCCTGAGGGTTTGTTAAAACAGAGAATATTGGACCTTCCCCCCAGAATTTCTGATTTAGTATGTTGAGGCGGGGGCCTAAGAATTTGTATTTCTGGCAAGTTCCCTGCTAATGCTGAGGCCGCTAGTCCAGGGATCACACTTTGAGAACTCCTGGAATAGTACTTCTGCCCTGCATTTGTACATATCTATAATACTCAAGTTGCTGTTAGATATATAAAAGTGATGTATTTATATAAAATATTACATTGCATTATATAATTGGTATATTGCATTATTATATGATGAGAAATAAATAACTTAATAATAAGAGTTGCTAAAAGTTATTGAGTTTACTATGTTTCCAGATTCTATGCAGAGCACTTTATGTTTTATCTCATTAAATCCCCCTGTCAACACTTGAGATGTAGGTACTATTATTGTTCTCATTTTACAGATGTGGAAACTGAGTCTCAGAGAGGTTAAGTAACCTACCTAAGGTAAGAGGTAACACTAAGTTGAAATAATGGTAGCCAAAGCGTTGTAGCGTGCCTTGACTTCTTTACTACTCAAGCCAACCATCCTTAGGCATTCGCGATCATGCTCACCGCATATAACATAGCAGAGTGTATTGTTGATGCATCCGTGTTCACTGTCACTAACCAGATATTTCAAAAAAATCTTCATCATAGCTGCTTCTTTCTGCAGGAATCTCAGGCTAGCGCCCCGGCTCCCGTGGGAGAGGATGTGCCTCGTGCCTCCTTGTGCAGCATACAGTCAGCACCACCCAAGCCAGCTACCTCGGTGAGTGATCCTCGGGGCACTGAGAAATGTCTTGGGAAAGTAATGGTCTTCGTCCCGTGCACTTTCTGTTCTGTGTCACTGACATATTATTTTATTCTGACAAAATAAGAAAACCTTATATAGCTATAGCATCTACTATTTTGGAGGTTCAGGAGTGTGCTAGAAGTTCAAGCTGTATTTAAATTTTTAATTAAATTGCTACAAGCTGTGTTTTTCTTTCACCTAAAATGTTTTCTAGTTCTTCAGCTATTGTAGATAACCATTCTTTTTCATATTCCTGCATCTTTCAAGCCTATTTGGAGTTCCACGAACAGCCCAATATGACCTTGAACTGACTCTCCGGGTGGAATACTCTGACCCGATAGCATCATGACCTCCCCCATTCCCAACAGAAGGGAGGATAGATTGATTCCTTTCCCTTTTCTTCTTCACTTTGTGACTCTCTCTCCCTTTCTGTCTTTTGGATGAAGTATGATATTTAACTAGTTGAATCCTTATTTCCTTTTGAATTCAGTGGGTTTTGTTTCCATCAGTTGATAGTCCCTGACTTCGAGAATAACATCAGTGGAATAAGTTTCATTCCTATAGACTTGGTGAATCTATACCCTGAGGAGCTAACTTGTTCTAGATACTTTGCAATATCTTCTCATTAAATTTTCACAAGGACACTATAAAATCTGATTATCTCTCTATTATTAGATGAGGGAAATGAATCTTTAGATTGACCTCGAACAAGTCACTTAACCTTTCAGGGCCTCATCTGAAATGAAAATATGACTCCTGCCCTAAGCTCACTCTGAGTCTAGTGTGGACACGGGCCAGACCTCAAGCTGACAGTACCAACTTGATCACTCTCATGTGGGAAAAAAGCAGAAGGAATGTGGGTCCCTCATTCTTTAGAGAAAATTAGGAAAGGCTTGCGGGTGGAGGGTAGGATCACGCTGAGAAATGGGGAGACCAGTGAGACGAGGACAGGCTAAGCCCAGAGATGTGAGGTACTTGGTATACTGGGGATATGTGCCTTTAGTTGTTTGAGAAAAGGGGGCCTTGGAGAAGGTGTAGGACAAGTGTCCTGGGTGCCCTGAAGGGGCTGCTTCCTGCCAGGGAAGTCCTTGGTGCCACCTGCAAATCCCCTCAAAGTCCGGTGTCCCCTCCCTGCCTTCGACAGAACTTGACCCCTTTTTTTGAGGTTTCAGGGTACCATCCAAAACTTTTACATTGTGGGAGCCAGGTCACAGACCACAGTGGCAGGGACCAGGAGAGAGGAGAGAATTTGGGAAGAGACCAATGAAGGAAGTAGGAACACAGGCAGTAATTAGATTAAAAGTGACAATGGCCAACACTTCAGGGCAGAACTCTTGTGACATAAACACGTGTCATCCACGTCTCATGCCAAGTGTGACTGCCAAGGCCTCAGAGGGCTCAGTTAGTTCCTTTCCCACTTTACGCTGACTGTAGAGTCAAGCATTGGATGCTTAGTGGACAGAAAAAAAAGTGGGGTGGGGTTGCTCTTGTTTTTCCATTTTCTGACCTTTCCTGGGCCTCTGCTCCACCAAGCCTGGTTACTAGCTGCCGAGATGTCAGTCACTGAGGTTAGCTGGGATTGTGACGCCTCGGGAACCCGAGAGAATAGCTGCAGAGTGTGGTAAAGGTCAGAGGTTTCAAGAAGGCTCGAGGATTGGAGAGCAAAAGGAAGCAGAAAGCCCAGAGGAAGGAAGGGAATGTGTGCCCTGTGTGGTTCTCGTTTGTATAAAAAGCAAGTTTATTGAGGAAACCCAGAGGCCTGAGTTCTAGTCCTGAATTTGACAACAACATAAAACACTACAGAAATGGAAGTTTTAGTCCTTAGTCCTATTTCCAGATTCCTGAGTTTTTTAAGGCTGCTACTTCTCACTTTTCTAACTTTCTCTTATTTCTTAAGCCAAAAGTCACAGGCTTGGGAAGCAGTGGTTTCCAAAAATTCTACAGCAGGGAGTAGGAGAAAATAAATGTAAGGTGTAAGCAGGTGTCTGTGATCAGGTAGCAGCTCAGGATGCTTGGCTAAGACTTGCAGACCACTGCAATTCTTTCAATGTAGGTATAATCCCAAACAAATGAGATACTACATACATCAGTGATTTTTGTTGCCCTGGGAATAGTCTATGCCGTATCCAACCACTAGATGGCGATAAATCACTTTCCATTCAGGCTCCCTTTCCTCATTGGCTATCTTTTCTTTAGCAGTGCAGCTTAGAAGAAAAACAACTTCTCTTACTTGGAATAATGGCTAACCTATAAAACAGAAAGACACTTTTACTCTAAAATTACAACATATACTCCATCTGAGGTCACAGACTTTCATGATAAGAATAAACTTTGAGACTGTTTAATTCAGGGGCTTTCACATTTTTGACCAAGACCAACAGTAGGAAATGCATTGATATGACAGCCCAGTACCTACACAATAGAAACAACAGGTTAATAAATGTTACTTATTCTTATTATGTAACATGCATTCTGTTTTCTATTCTAGTCTTTCAATGAACTATAAATTAATTTTATGCCCCACTAATATATGGATCATGACCTGTGGTTTGGAAGGGGTCAGGGTCTAGTCCTATCTTTTAACATAAACATAGTTTTTCCTTCGTTTTCCCTTTATACCACTTATGCTCTGTGTCCATCCCATTTCTTTTTAAATATCAGCATGGATGAAGTTCACTACATCACGAGGGAGCACATTTCACTTTGAATAACTGGACCACAGGTAGATGGTTCTCATTGGGGAGCACATTTCACTTTGAATAACTGGACCACAGGTAGATGGTTCTCAGGTTAGTCACAGGCAGTCACCTGAATCAGCATGAGGTCACTCTGACCCGTAGAAGCCACCTAGAGAATACAGGCATCTGTGCCCCAGCAGAGGCTCAGCCGGAGCCACCTCTCTCTAGCATGGGGTAGTCTAGGCTGTCTCACAGAAAACTTTCTGGGAGTCTTTCCTGTGCCAGTTCAAGAACAATCACCAGAAAATCCCTCTTTCTTCTTTCCGGGCTTTCAGCCTTTCTGTGGTACCCCCATTCCATTGCCTCCCTTATTTCCAAACCAGAATGCTGGGTGAGATCTTGTAAGTTTCTCAGTGTCACTCTATAAGTTGCATACACTTAATGCGTACTATAAGAACCTTGCTCTAATGTTTAACACTGTATGTTTCTTAAACATAGATTCTAATGCAGTTGGTAATTCAGATTATGAAAAGATGACATGTGCTTCTTATCTAAGCCTGAAATAAGGAGGATATGCCCGTCTGCATTGCTTGATGTAGTCTTCTCCAGAAGGAGGCATTAACCGCCTACTCAGTGTATCCACTAATGTACTTTTAGAAGGGCGCGGTGCCCGATGACGCTGTAGAGGCCTTGGCTGGTAGCCTGGGGAAAAGCGAAGCAGAGCCAGACGATGGAAAGCCTGTGGAGGATCAAGTCAAGGTAATGGCAGCTCAGCTACTTCTAGAAAGGAACTAGTATGGATTGCCTTCACTCCCCAAATGACTAATAAGTGAGTTGTTGTTGTTGTTGTTCCCCCCACAACATATGACCAGCTGGCTTTCTCTGTTACTGTGCAGATCCTGCTTAAGAAGCCAAACCTAAGTGAGCATCAGTGTTTGAGCACAGCTGTGGGTGGATGGCACTGTATCAGAGTTAGGAGTCTCACCTTTCCTGTTGCTGAGGACTCAGGAGGCAGCTGCCTGCTGCTCCTCGCGACTGCCTTTGACCCCAGCAGGCTCAGCGCCGGGGTCTTAGCCTGCTACACTAGCATGCAGTGTTAAAGATTAGGGTGCTGTAGGAACTCCACAAATATGGTCATACGCACATTCTAACCATGGATTGCTTGACCTCAACTTGAGTCATCCAGGCATCTACTCTAAGGAGAAAAGGTGTATTCATAATGAACATGGTATGATTTTTATTTAGGAGAAAGCCAAAGAAGAGGATCGTGAAAAACTTGGTGAAAAAGAAGAAACAATTCCTCCTGACTATAGATTAGAAGAGGTCAAGGTAAACAGGTTTTCTATTTTATTTTCATTCATACTGAACTCCATATACATAAAGAAGAGACATGGAAACAGACCTGGCATATAAAGATCTTGTTTCTTAATATTTCCAACACCGAACTGTATTAGTCCACAAATACCCTGTTAGCACACCAGATATGAAGCTAAAATATTCCTAAGTGGCCTTTCACTCCTCTCTGAAGTGAAAGAAATTTAATGTCTAAGCTACCTAATTTTTTCCCGTCTAATACATGGTTTGTTACAAGACCAGAAATCAGAAAACTTAGAAAACCTCTATGTAGATAGGAAAAGAAAAATGAAGAACAATTGTTGACAATTGTTGACTATGAGGAAACATTTCCAATGAGCAACTCTTAGATATAAATCGGAAAAAAAATAAGAGCACCTGTTTAACATTGACTTAAGTGGTAAGCTGGCCCGTTTCCTTTATTTTTGAATGTACACATTGTTCAGAACAAGTGACACGGGGGCAACCCCGTTATGAATCTTGTAGTGTAAGTACAGCCAGTTGGACGAGGCAGACACACAGACACAGGGACACTAGAACAAATGTCGGTCATCTTCATAACAGGCCATTACTTAAGAGGATTTTCAACTCAACTTCATTCCCAATTCAGGAAAATCCAATCGATACTCCTCTTCCTCATCCAAGTGCATGAGGGCATTTGTTTAGCCAGGACAGGCACTATACTGAGCTCTGCCTGAGTAAAAGTGTGTTATTCTGCTTGCTTCTGCATTTCAGAATTCAGTTGAAACAATGACATTTCTGTTTAATTGGGCTTATGTGCATGCTGCTTTGCGAGGTTTTGAGAGAGGTTCTTCAGGGCCACGTGGCCTGTCACTACTGACGCCCTCATTTGGTAAAGGCAGGCAACTGTCTTCATAGTAGGGGGTTGATTGCTTTCTCTCTCCTTTGTGCTGAATTTTAGTAGCAGTTTTTAAGAAAGCGGTTGGTTGATTGGCTTTCCCTGACCACTTTACTCCGTGGTAGTTTGATCCTCGTCTGGACTTGTGGATCTCACACATTAGTAATTACCTATTGCTTTATACCATTTTCCTGGGGGTTGGCCTGATCTCGTGTTGAAATCTTATACTGCTGTTGATCAGCTATGCTCACAGCAGGCCTCTTCAGTGAGATTCAGCTCCCTGAGGGTAGCCCACCGGCTTCCTCTTCCAGACACAGAGTAATTTCACTTGGAGTGTGGAGCACATGTGCCCCCCGATGGTCCCAGGTGTCACTTGGGAAATTTGCTGCTTTTGTAGCTAAGGAACCCGTGGCAAGTAATCCCTCCCAGGTTCTGTTTTCCCTCGTAACTGAAGGATACTCAGAAGGTACGAGTGAACCTGCAGAGGAGATGGAAAAGGGAGTGAAGGTCAAGGAGTTTATGCCAGTCCCGGGAAACAGGTGATATTCTAAACCATTGCCCCTCCTCACATTTTAAATAAAATAAAAATCATCTGGACCAGTTTATTAGGAGAAATACAGATATGTATAGCCTTCCCCTTATTTATTTTTGCCTCTCTGGGTAAATGGGATTTACCATTTGTTTATAAATCTTCTTTTACTCAAGAACCCCAAATGCTTTATTGATTTTTGTCCTGTTAGAGTCATTTGAAGCGTGGCTTCATCTGAGCCATACATTTCAGAGCATCCCACCCACAGGATGAGTGCAAGGACTGCATCTGTCCTAGGTTCTGTAGTATTGCCAGCATGTACTGCAGGGCTGGGCACAGAATCGATGCATATTAATTGGACGTGTTGCCTATNGAATGTAGCCATACTTGTATCAGACAAAGTAGACTTCAAGCCAAAAATGGTTACAAGAGACAAAGAAAGTCATTATATAATGATAAAGTGGTCAGTAAATCAGGACATAAAAACTGTAAATATATTATATTCCCAACATCCAAGCACCAAAATATGTTAAGTAAATACTAACAAATCTTAAGGGAGAAACAGACAACATAACAATAGTAGGGGACTTTAATATCACATTATCAGCAATGGATAGATCAATCAGACAGAAACTCAAGGAAATATTGGAATTGAGCTATCCTGTAGAACAAATTGATAACAGACATATAAAGAAATTATACCAGCTATCTTCTCTGACCACAATGGTATGGAACTAGAAATGAACAACAAGAGGAAAGTGAGAAGATCTCCAAATATGTGGAAACTAAATAAGACACTACTGAACCAGTGGATCAAAGAAGAAATCAAAAGGGAAATAAAAATTTCTCAAAACAAGTGAAAAATACAATGTATCAAATCTTGTGGGACACAGAAAAGAGAGGAAAGTTTATAGCAATAAATGCATATATTAAGAAATTAGAAAGATCTTAAATAAATAACTAACTCTATACCTCACGGAACTAGAAAAAGAACAAATTAAACCTGAGATTAGCAGAAGAAAGGAAATAATAAAGATCAGATTGGAAATAGAGACCAGAAAAATAGAAAGGATCAATAAAACTAAGAGCTGGACAAACCTTTATCTCACATGTGGAATCTATGAAAAACACAAGTTCACAGATTGGTGGTTGCCAGAAGCTGCAGGTGGATCAGATGGGTGAATGGGATCAAAAGGTACAAAAGTCTAGTTATAAAATAAATGACGACTTAGTTCATAACACTGTTGCATATTTTAAAGTTGCTAAGACAAGACAGTCGATTTTAAAAGTTCTCATCATAAGATAAAAATTTTTGTAACTATGGATGGTGACATGTTAACTAAACTTACTGTGACGATCATTTCACAATATATACAAATATCAAGTCATCATATATTGTATACCTGAAACTAACATTACATATCAATTATACCTCAATAAAACAACCAAGATAGTCAAGTCCATAAAGAATATAAGAAACGAGATTAATTAGTTGTTCATGTCATTCATTTCAAATAGATTTGCTTATTAATGTATTTCAGTTATACAGAGTACATGATCAACCCTTTAACAAAAAATAGAAAGCATCATAGCCCTGTGGGCCGAGTGGATTAGCTGGCCAGCAGTGCCCCCAAGTACAGGAAAAGGATGGATCACCATAGAATACATGAACAGTACCATCCAAGTACCAGCCTTGTGAATTTTTTTTTCTTAAATTACCCTGGTCTTCAAAAAAAAGTAAACATTTAGAATCAATTAAGGTTATTTTTACCTTATAAACTTGAAGAGGAAGAACTCTGTTTTGGCTAAATGAAAATGAGATACTTAGAAAGACTGTCTTATTTTCCCCAAGTGCCGTCTGTTACCTGTTTAATTCTGAGAAGCCCAGTTCTTTGGAAGAATCTTCTAGTTGATCAGTTCTGATACTTAATCCAGAAAACAAAGAGCTCATTAATGATTTTTCTTTCCCTTTTAGGCAAAGGAGGAAACTTCCAAGCCAAAAACTGATGAAAAAAACACAAGTTAAAGTTCACATTTGGTAAGTTAGGTGTTAGCTGTAAATGAAGTCAACCATACCTTCTAACCAACCTCTGTGTTATAGGGAGAGAACCTAAGTCCACTTCTTAAGTCTTTCATGTTCCCTTTATATTATTGGCATGAAATGCACATTGCAAAATCTATAGAGTAATTCCCTGAAAAGCACTGAATGGAATGATTGTGCTCCTGGAATGTTTAAAAACCTTAATCTTATAATTAAGAGCTCTTTTAAAATATTAGGCCAGGCTCTTAAAGAAAATGACCATCTAAGTCTAGTTGCCTCTTTGAAACCCAAATGCTCATGATTGCAGGTTACTGCAGCAAAGCAAAGTCAGTATGTGTGTGACATCTTATAGTGAAACATCCTTATGATATTGATACTACCCAAAGTGACAACACATGGTAGATGGGGAGAAGTACCCCTGAAGGTCTGGTGGAGATTACAGGGTTTTTGGAACAAGGGCAAAGGAAAAGATTAACCACTTTTGTTCACCTTAGTTTTGGAAAGGAAAGTACTATGTCTCATTCTATATGTTGGGTTGTCGGAAAAGTCATGACGTATTTTTTCTGTTTTTCGTTGCAAAAATACATCATGACTTTTCTGACAACCCAATACCTTATGTGACTGCAAAGCTCATATAGATGAGAAAATCTCTGAGCTCTATCTTGAGAGCTGGGCCCTATCTTACTAATTTCAGAAAGAAGAGGTCTTTTTCTAAGCCATAAAAGCTTCTAACTGCTTCCCAACCAAAGCCTAAAGGAAATAAAAATGTGGGTTCAATTGGTTAGGCGCACTCACCGTGATCCACTTTTATTTCCTGTAAAGAGGGAGGTATACTGATGAGAACGGCTCCAAAGATTTTCCCCAGAATAAAAAAAAAAAATTCTATTNGCTCCACCATTAGCAGCTATAATCCTGGGCTCTCATGAAGCACTTAAAACCAGTAAAATGCTGTGTGTGCGCGCGCCCACAATGATGAAAGTCCCTGCGCAACAGAAAGGAAGAGTCATTAATAACCCAGGCTGTCATTTATACTTTAGTTCTTAATCCTCAGGTAAGAGGTTCTGCCCTGATTGAGGCTATTACTAGACATCTGCAATCAAAAGCCTTTTTGCCTTTTCACAAGTATGTTTTAAAAAGGACACCTTTCCCATCACTCTTCCCATCAGAGGGTCTAAGTTTTAAATTTTTTTGGAGCCATCACCAAAACCAGGCATATAGCTTTATGTACATGAACAGGCTTGGGAATCAAAGAGTAAATGAAGCTATCATAACTTAATGTGCGTTTTCTTTGCTGGGGACATTAGACATGTCACCAGTAGTGTTACATACACTAAAAGCATCTTAAGACATACATTTGCCAGCAAATCAAGACAGGAACCCCATTTTTTTAGGAGGGAACTGTTTCCTTGGAAGAGAGATGCCTGGGGGTGGGGCAGGGGTAGACAGGCACAGAGAAGTGCTGAGAGCCAGACAGCAGGGAACAGAGCGCCGACCAAGGGTTGGCAGTCCAGTGCCTCCCACCCACCCTTGCCCGTCTCCCTGGTGAAAGTCCCGTGAGCTCATGGAAGTCTTAGTGGCAGTGTTGGGGCCACACTCCAACGGGTGACCTGGAATGGCCAACCAGTGACTCATTCAGATTCACATTTTCACAGAGTGACAACAAAGATCTCAACGATGCCCTGGATGAACTTTCTGACAGTCTAGGGCAAAGGCAGCCTGATCCAGATGAGAACAAGCCAATAAAGGACAAAGTCAAGGTAAAAGAAAAAAAGTGAAAATTTAAGATTTTATATATATATATACACACACACACACACACACACACACACACACACATACATACATACACATATATAGATATAGATATGGCATTGAATACCCTACCCTCCACACAAAAGGAAAAAAAAACAAAACAGTTCTTTGTCTGAAGTTAATGAACAGTTGGATAACTTAGGTCAAATTTTTTTCCTCTGTAGTCTGCACTGCATTCTTTTACTTCCTCCGTGAGGACTTTTCTGTCATTGATTCAGGCAAATGTCCTGTTCATGATGGAAAAGCACAGCTCTGTTAATTTTATTCTCTTCCCACATTCACTTTTCTTGGTTTTATCTGGTAGTAAAGATAATATGATATCCACATATGTGCGTTTTTTAGGTTGACATGTTCTGTGCATGTGGTGGCAGAGGCCACCTAGTGGGCAGAGGTTTCCAGAGCAGCCTTCTTTGCCATCATTACTAACGATGCATGCAAACTCCAAAAGAAAGTTGACCAGGAGTTCAGCACTGTCTAGAGGTGTGTCTACAAGGCACAAACAGTTAACTCCACATATTCAACATGTATAAGTACTTATTTATACTTCACAATATTGCAATATTCAACAATCCGTTTGGCTTGGAACCAGGAAGTAACTGACCAGCCAAATTGATGTCCCCAAAGACAGGGCATTTCAAAGAATCATTAGGTCATGATTCTATCATTGTCATAGGAATACTGATGTGAACGTAACCTGTATTTGAAAGATGAAATTATAATAATGCAGAAAAATAAAATCTAAAGCCCCCCCTTTCCTGCCCTCCCCTCCCCCCTACCTCATGGGGCAGAGTTATTGTCACTGAATCTATGACAGAGACCTACCAGGCCCCACTGAGGTGGCAATGCTGGCAGGTACTGGCTGCTTACTCAATGGCAGGTATCTCCTCACCTGCAGCACGAGCAGTCAGTTCGTCCATTCAGATTTGCTGCGTGTCCTGGTCCTTCAGGGTTGCTTAGCTATAGTCAAAGTGGTAGCTTTTATCTCTCTAAATCCCAAGGTACAGTGACTTGACTTTTTTATCGGAAAAGTGAAACTCACACAAAAAGATATTTTACACCCTTGGATTTTATCTCCTTACATGGTTTCTGAGGATAATTATTTAATCATTTATTTCATTTTAAAATGCAGGTAGAAAATTCACAGATGTGGATGGACCTGTAAGAGGCACATGGGTTTACATTTTTTTCATCAGCTAGTCGGTTCAAGTCATCCGTTTTGTTGTTCTGTTGCTTAAAAAAAATAGAAAACATGTTTTGCTCCAGAAGTGTACAATAAATGCTGAATGCTGCATTTCAGAATGTATTCTCTAAGTGAAGCAGGAAAGGAATATTAATTATATCTGTTCAATGTTTATAGGAGAAAGCTAAGGCTGAACACAGAGATAAACTGGGAGAGAGAGATGACACTATCCCACCTGAATACAGACATCTCTTGGATAAGGATAAGGTAAATGAAGGCAAATGTCGAGATTGGGTATATACGACAAAGCTTTTTAAATTCAGACTCACTTGAAATGAACAGGAGGTACGCTTTAACAATTGCATAAAAATGTAATGTGACAGTTTTTTATGTGTCCCCAATCAGCAGGCTGTCTAGGATTCTGTTTAATATTTATTTGAGCCAATATCATTTGATGNCCCAATATTAAGGCCCTCGACCTACTGTAGCCATTAAAAATGTGTATCATGAAATATTGTTCCAACACAGTGAATATTTTCAGCAGTGTAACTAATTGAACCAGTGACCATGTATGCTATCAAGTACACCTATGGAAAGATAATTTAAAACTGAGTGTATCTAAAATTACTTCTTAGCTTTACCAGTTGGTAGTCTACAATTTGATCATTTTCCAAACTACCTCTAGGGAAACTGGGCTTCATGGGGAACAGAGAGTCCCTCAAAGGGAATTCTGTTACTAGAGAGTTTGGGAAATGTTGGGTAGGGGTAAACAAGTTTCTCAACTGTAGGGTTTCCAGGGCTATTTATATGCAAACGTAGATACTGTAATATGACATAAACCTATACATTGTTTGGAGTTCCCAAACTTACCTAGCTCCAGAACCTTATCTGGGGGGTCTGAGTTATTTAATCCTATGTGGATAATGGTATGGAAAATATATATCAGTTGAAAAATAGAATAAGCGACAACTAGGAAAAATAATGATTCCTTGGAGTTGCCTGAAGTTTTTGCTCTCACATCTGTACATGATGTTTTGTGTATGCTGTGTATACAAGGTGTGATCCAACAACAGTGAACGTTTAAATTTTAAAAAAGTTTATTCCAGTAAGACACATTGCTACTAATCCCCCTCAAAATACTCCCCCTCGCTTCAAACACACTTTTCCCATGGTTCTTGCCACTTTCTGAAGTTCTGGAAGACCTCTTTCATGAATGACTTTAGTTGCGCTGTCATGGCTGCCTCGATGTCCTGAATTGATTCAAAATGTTTACCTTTCATGGTCATTTTGACTTGGAGGAACAACCAGAAGTCACAAGGTGCCAGATCCGGTGAATAAGGTGGAGGAGGACACGCCGTAATGGTTTTGACAGAAATTGCCATACACCAAAAGCAGTGTGTGACACAGAGCACTGTCATGATAGAGGATGAAGTAAAGTCACTCATGAAAGAGGACTTCCAGAGCTGCTTCAGAAAGTGGCAAGAACGATGGGATAAGTGTGTTCAAAGCAAGGGGGAGTATTTTGAGGGGGGATTAATAGCAATGTGTCTTTTACTGTAAAATTTTTTTAAGTATTCACTGTATCTTTTGAACACATCTCATATTAGAAAATATAATTATCTAATGAGATGTCAAGCTTATGTAAAGAAAGCTGCAACAGAACAAATGAAGAGAAAAACAAGAACATGGAATTAAAACCCATATATCTAAGACAGTTTGACTAAATGTCTTAAAAGAATGATGACAATTATATTTTTTATTATAACTCAAAATTATCTAAAATTTATTTGAAAAATAACTGCCTAAAATATGAAAAAATATTGAAAAGCATTTTTCACTCTTTTTAGGGAACATTAACCTAACTAAATACTAGGCTTTATTATACAATAATAAGATACAGTTCTGATTCAGAAAGCAAAGCCACAGGTTAATGGAAAAAGAAAAGAAATGAACATAAATGACAGATTTAGTACATTTTTAAAATGAGAGAAGAAATCATTTCAGAAATAGTCTGGAATAAGATGCTATTTAACATTAAGAAAAAATAATACTCAAACCTCATACCATATACCAAATATTAAAGCAATAGTAGTACATCATTTTATACCTAATATGTTATCAGAATTAAAAATATTTAGGTAAGCAAATCCGTGGGAAATAGGCATGCTCCTTCATTACTTTTAGCAGAATGAATTTCTGCAATTTTTGAGAGGGCAGTTTAGCAGAATATAGCTAGCCCCATAAAGAGAGCCACTTCTAGAACTTTGATTCAGGGCAACCAGTTACAAAGAAAGCTGAAAAACTGCAAACAACCTAAATGTACTATAAGAAAAGTGTAAACAAACATGAAGCTCTAAGTCATTAGATTATTGAACAACATTTAGAAGAATAAATGGGAATAGGAAATTGTGGAAAAAAATACTATGGAATAGGAACTAGAATAAAAACGGCATTTTAGATTCTGTGTTCCTATGTATACATTTGGATCAAGAAAATCATAAAGCTATATTAAGAGCTGTATTTTAGTGACAGCACATGGACATAATGTTTTATACAACGTATNTTGGCTAAATGAAAATGAGATACTTAGAAAGACTGTCTTATTTTCCCCAAGTGCCGTCTGTTACCTGTTTAATTCTGAGAAGCCCAGTTCTTTGGAAGAATCTTCTAGTTGATCAGTTTTGATACTTAATCCAGAAAACAAAGAGCTCATTAATGATTTTTCTTTCCCTTTTAGGCAAAGGAGGAAACTTCCAAGCCAAAAACTGATGAAAAAAACACAAGTTAAAGTTCACATTTGGTAAGTTAGGTGTTAGCTGTAAATGAAGTCAACCATACCTTCTAACCAACCTCTGTGTTATAGGGAGAGAACCTAAGTCCACTTCTTAAGTCTTTCATGTTCCCTTTATATTATTGGCATGAAATGCACATTGCAAAATCTATAGAGTAATTCCCTGAAAAGCACTGAATGGAATGATTGTGCTCCTGGAATGTTTAAAAACCTTAATCTTATAATTAAGAGCTCTTTTAAAATATTAGGCCAGGCTCTTAAAGAAAATGACCATCTAAGTCTAGTTGCCTCTTTGAAACCCAAATGCTCATGATTGCAGGTTACTGCAGCAAAGCAAAGTCAGTATGTGTGTGACATCTTATAGTGAAACATCCTTATGATATTGATACTACCCAAAGTGACAACACATGGTAGATGGGGAGAAGTACCCCTGAAGGTCTGGTGGAGATTACAGGGTTTTTGGAACAAGGGCAAAGGAAAAGATTAACCACTTTTGTTCACCTTAGTTTTGGAAAGGAAAGTACTATGTCTCATTCTATATGTTGGGTTGTCGGAAAAGTCATGACGTATTTTTTCTGTTTTTCGTTGCAAAAATACATCATGACTTTTCTGACAACCCAATACCTTATGTGACTGCAAAGCTCATATAGATGAGAAAATCTCTGAGCTCTATCTTGAGAGCTGGGCCCTATCTTACTAATTTCAGAAAGAAGAGGTCTTATTCTAAGCCATAAAAGCTTCTAACTGCTTCCCAACCAAAGCCTAAAGGAAATAAAAATGTGGGTTCAATTGGTTAGGCGCACTCACCGTGATCCACTTTTATTTCCTGTAAAGAGGGAGGTATACTGATGAGAACGGCTCCAAAGATTTTCCCCAGAATTAAAAAAAAAAATTCTATTAATAATCCACTCTCAAATTTACTTATAGGAAACTCCTTCTTGTTTGTTATACAATGCTTTGGCTAGGTGTTACATTTACTATGCTTTTTAACCAAAAAAAAAAATCATATCAAGTGGTTCACTAGATTTTTTTTCATTGACTTTTTCAGGGTATCTGCATTTAAAATCTTCAGCTGGTAGATGGTGACTTTTGAAGAACAAAAGGCTTTGACAACAGAAATTTTTCTGGGTGGCTTCTAGACAGTGGTATTTGTTGAGTCTTTTGACATCCTAAACATTGGTTTGTTATTCTTTTCCTGGAAAGAAACTGAATCTGTCTGGTTTACCTGTGCTATATTGTACTGAGTATCGATAAACTTTGAATTTTTAAAAATTGCCTTCAGTTGGGAGAGAAAGGAACTTTATATTTCTAATAGATCCATTTGATAGTTTCTTAAAGCAACACAAAAAAAGGAAAAACCTTTGCAAACTTTTGCACATTCTACACACAGTGCCTGTAAATCTCAGTAGTATTTTCAGTTTGCACTTCATTTTTGTTGTTGTTAGCATTTGGAAAACAGTGCTTTAAACCTTCTCAGTGTTCTGATCTCATGACCTTTCCTCTTTGGGCTTTTGAACTGTATTTGACGTTTCTTTGGGTTAATGTTTATAAGTCAAACATAAGATATTGTACATTGGGCATATATCTCCTCTTGGGCTGCTAAAAATAAATTAATACTCGTAGATGACCTGAACAGACCAGGAAGCACTGCACCCCTTTTCGGGTTGAACTCTTCCTTGTCAGAGGTGAGGACTTCTGCACCTTACAGCCAGCACAAAACACACAGACTTGAACCAAGTCAGGGGAGCAAAATGCAGACTATATGCCACTGCATAACAAGCTCCAAGAATAATAAAATCTGCTTCTCAGAATATTCATATGGCTTAAACTCTGTTGGTTTACTGTGTTAAGCTGGGCTTACCATTCTCTCCCTGTAAAACCTGAACAGCACTTGTTTGCTTAGAGCCATCACCACACTTGTCTTTGCACTGTATAGCATCTGGCTTTATGGAAGTTAAGTTTATCAAATATAAAACAAAAAAAAAAATCTGAAATTTAAAAATTTGCTTTTCCTCCCTATAGCAACTTAAGAACTGGGCTCTGATGTTCTACAACCTTGAATGGTTTCTCAGATCTTCCTGAATGAATTGTTTATGAACATAGCACTGATGTTGATGGGATTTTGATAAATATTTAATTTCATCTTTATTTCCTGGTAGTGAATGCAGGAAATGATACCAGGTACATATCATAAACTGATTTGGAACTTGTCGTTTCAGACAGCACAGCTGTCCTTAGCATCTGTTTAAAGGTTTTATTTATTAGGACTTAGCCGACTTCACTAAATATAGAGGGTGCCAAAAATGTATACACATTTTCAGAAAGAAAAAAAAANATTCCTATAACATGAGATTCAGATGGTTATTACTATGATCCCCTAACTATAATGAGAAATTAATGGGACAGCTTTAAAAACAATAGTCCAACTACATCAAAACTCTTTAAAATAAGATAGTTCCAATTCAAGATGGCAACATAGGAAGAGCCTGAACTCACCTCCTTCCATGCACACACTGAATCTAGTGCTACATGTGGAACAATTTCCTCTGGGAAAAAAAAAAAAAACCCCGAAAAGTAGCTGAGTGACTCCTCATCAGAAAACGAGAACAAAACCTCACAGCAAAGCAAGTAGGAGTGTCTGAGACACAATCTTGCCATAAACCTTACCCCGAGCATGGCAACCCACAGTTAGGAGAAAATGCAAAAGCTAGAGCTTCTCCCTGAAGAACTAAGTATGAAGCCCACATCTGGCACCCCAACTTCTAAAACATCCAGCTTTGAAAGCCAACAAGTTTCACATCCACCAGATCCACAATGCTATAGTGAACTGATACAATGGTTCTGAACGGGCTGGCATGCTTGGACTTGACAGCCACTGAGCCCAGCACAAAGGCAGTTGATCAAGAGGCTCCCAGACTTTCTGTGAAAGAGGCTTAATGGCTTATCTTGTCAGCTGAAGGGACAGGCATCTTAATTTAATACACGCCGAGAGGCCTGCTGAAATACTTACCAGGGACGGAGGCT